AACATTAAACATTCTTGGAATTGACATAACATTACTGATGTCGTACACACCCTTCAGTGTGAAATGTGGCTCTCTAGCACATCTAACATCTAAGGAAAGAAGAGCATAGATTGGTACCAGATAAAATAATTTTGTTATCAACATTAATACATTATGCTAATTTTCATCTTTGTAAGCGCATAAGGCAGTGCAAATTATTTCTGTGACAGTCTTTTGAAGAGTATAATAAATCTCCATTTTATCCCGTACATAGTCAAAATATTGGGGGGGGGGGGGAATGATACAATGGCCCCCCCCCCCCCCCCGCCTTGTCAAATATTGGGGGGGATATATCCCCCATCCCCCGGGATCTACGCCTATGGGCGTACGGTAATAGTTCTGAGGGCCCTGGTTCGAGAGTCCGACGGGGCCCTTGACGCGTATAGCATTACTATTCTTTTACTACTGAAGTATCATAATACCATACCCCGCTGAAATTTATTAAAGCGCGAATCCGTATATGAAATCGAATATTTTACAATTTATCATGTTTTAATAAAGTAATCCCCTGCCTGGAACCATCCTGGTTCGTAGTCTTCGGGCAAGGAATATTGATTACTAATGTATTATTATATGCCTAATGTATTAAATCTGTTTATTTAAAGATATTATTATTTTTATATTAGTTAATTATATTCTTTTTAATTCTTTTCATTAATATATTATTTAAATTATTTTTCTGTTCAGGTGTCAATTTTATTTATTTTTGTTTTGTTTTGTTTTGTTTTTGTTTTGTTTTGTTTTGTTTTGTTTTGTTTTTTCATTTTGCCAGGGTCTCAATTGATCAGCTCAGTCCTCACAAAATATTGTTAAAATAAATAAATAAATAAATAAATAATAAATAATGATTCATAATTTTACTAAAATAGTCTAGAATATATCTGTCCCATCGGACATTATTATTTCGGAGTGATTACTTATAAAAGTAAAAGTACCAATATATAACTATGATCATTTAAGGAGAAAGAAACATTAATAGGCCATATATTTAGCGTCTGGGTTGATAAAAACTGGCACTGGTATCCCTCCGACATGTTTGTATATTTGCATTTTCTGTCAGTAGGGTACGTAGCCCTCTCATTGAAAAACACTGCAGTTCCGAGGGCCCACAATACATTAAAATCCACAATAAATCTTAATCTATTATTATCTTTTGAATTTGGACTAAAAGAAAATAAGATTTTAATTAAATAGGCCTATATCTTGTCGAATTAATTCGGCTCGATACATGACTTGATTTTCTCTATCTTTAGAGATGTACTACTATCAATTGAGTACTTGTAGGCCTATTAAGTTTTTAATAACATTATTAAGTATTTGATGTGCTTTATGGTACAGTCGGTCTTTAATGGTTACTTATAAGCAGTTTTATCGATAGTTGTTAGTAATTTATATTGGTCAGGCTTTCATGCAAGGATGACGATCTGTTTCACTGTGAATTCCATAAGCCTACATCACGATGTATTCGAGTCACAATTTGCACAACAAAGCATGGGCCTAGCATGTTACTGATTATTTTAAAGCTATTAACCATTTTAAATTATAATTTTCAGTATTAAATATAAAGATAAATATTATCAATCAAGATATTTGCTATGCATCGTTTTATTGTAAGGGGGTGGGGAGGTCGGTGGCCCATGGCATGGGTGACCACCTGAAGGCTGTGGTATAGTTACTCCACTGAGTATGTACGCCTACACCCAGTCCTCTAGACCATTGGTGATTTTGGAGGAAACTGAATCAAACAAAAAATTTTAGCCCAAATAAACGTGATCGAAATAATCCTACATTTCCCAATATTAAGATTTAACAATGACAAAATAAGAGGTAATTAATTATAATCTCTATAAAAATGCAATAGATTTTTAATTAAATAGAATATAATTAGATTATTATATTTTATTTGTCTTTAATTAATAACTTAAAAATCTATATTAGCTATTTAAAAAAAAATTCTACCATTTGTCAGAAATGCGTTGGCGTAGGTCTCGTAAAGATCACCGTTGTTCACGCGTTGTAACGATGTCATCGCTAGTGCACATTAGAACGCACCGGAGCGTTATTGACGATCATAGCGCAATGTATTGTATTGTTGACTCTGTGTTTTCTGATTTGTTTTTGCAGTAGTACCTAGCCTAATCCCAGTACTTCAATACGATTTTACGGTATTACGGTAGTAAGTTAATGTATATTATATATTAGGGTAACTTTTTAGACATCGGGTAATCCGTTGTGTGACTGCAGACTTAGGCCTAGCTAGGCCCCCTCTAGGCCTAGGCCGCTCTTCTGCCCCACACTAGACTAGCTAGATAGCTAGGCCTAGGTAGCCTACTTTCTATCTAGGCCTATGCCTATAATACCGTAGTCTATAGTCTAATCTTAGCCTATAGCCAGGCCTAGCCTAGCTAGGCGCACTAGGCCTGGAGAAATTAGGGTGTTGAGTGAGGGCCTGGCTGCTTACATTCTTTCTCATCAGACATTCACTAAAAAAAACTAAGTTTCTAGCTTTATAGGCCCTGGCCCTCTAACTAGTACTTAGTACTGTAGTAGGCCTAGTTACTAGCCAGGCTAGACCTAGTGTACTAGTAGGCTTGTTTATATGACTATTTTTTTTGTATTAAAAATGTTGTTTCTTTTGTTACCTCTGAAGGCCTGTGGAAGCATACTGTAAAGTTTTATGATTGCGCTGAGGATACCTAAAAAATCTTCTCAAATTTGCGTCTAAAATCTCTATGAAAATAGGTGTGTGGAATCGTAATTGCTGCATAATTGCATTGGTTATTCATTAAGATTTTTTTTTCGAAATGCACAGACGGATTTCTTTCTAGGATAAATATTTGGGCGGAGGATTATATATATTCCCTGCGCAGGTCTTGGTAGACATACAGTCTTGCTGTGGAAAGCAATCTCTGTCTGTCTACCAATGTAGGGGCTAGGCTGGCTTTTTAAATACATTTAAAACCCTATGCGCTGCCCGCCTACCATCTTCAGCTAGAGATACCCCTTGTCATAAAAAGTATATTAATATTCATTATGATACCGATCATAGGTTTGTATATAAAAACCGTTTCTTTTTATTTTCTCCTCCATCTGGATGCTTTTGGCAAATATATTTGCTACATTAGAAAGCAAAATTTTATTTTTATTTTTTCCACCCTCCTCTGACAAATTTTAAGAAAATAAGTTCACAAAACTAGGTATAAAAATGGGTCACCTTACAATTACCCTTTTTGCCTTTTCTGCCATATCTGCTTTTGTCTTAAAACTTAACTGATTGAACCTAATTTATGCTTGATATTATATATGTGTCAAAGACCAGCTAAACCAGCCACTGGTCTCAAAAATCAATTTTAAGTTATTAATGTAGGGTTAAACAGTAAAAATGAGAGCTATAAAATGGTAAAAGGATCATTTAAATCTGACATTTCCTTTTGAAGTTACAAGCATTCAAACATAGAACTGTTTAAAGAATAATATTTGAAAAATCAGCCTTCAAAGTTTATGATTTCGAGCTTTTCTCAGGCAGAGACCATCACCAAATTGATAAAAATTGTTGTTTAAATAACATTGAAAATGGGGAAAATAACAGTATGGTATAATGTATAGATATATAATGGTTAGGTTACTGCAATAAAATAGAATTCAAAAATTTTGACATTTCAGCATGTTTTGGCCATTATCTCTGAAACACGGATTGCGACAAGTGACTGGTTTGGCTTGTCTTTACCATATATAACGTTTATTAACCTTAGTTATAAATCATGAATATATTTTACCTTTGAAAGGTGTGCAGAACATGCCTCAGGAATCCACAAGGGCAACAGAACAACAACCAGAAGAGACTTGGAGAGTGAAAACTCTTGACGAGATATTGGCAGAAAAAAAAAAACGCAAGGAGAGGGAAGAGACAAAGAAAACTGACGAGAGCAAGACCACAATGTCACATGATCAGGAAGAAAGGTTTGTTTAGTTATATTGTGTCTTATTAGTCTCCCAATTTTGTCTCTTACTGACATACTGTAGTTCAGGTCTGAGTCTAGCCACTTGCTTATCATATTTGAACTTTACAATATATCATGGTTGCCATTTATTTTTCAGAATGGATGACTATGATTCCCTGGACATAAAGCCACCACAGCTTACAACATACAAAGGAAAGAAGTCACATAAGAAAGATGATAGAAGAGACCGGCAGAAAACTAGTTCCCTAGAAAGAAAACATAAAAGTATGCAGACAGAAGATACATATGTCAATTTAATATATGCTAATAAAGAGCGAATAATAATTAACATTTTCACTGCCCTGTAGTTTGACAAAGATCCTCCCAATTTGCCATGACAAGTTTTACAGAGTTCTAACAATTAGAAATATTTGGGGCTAGGTTTCACTGAGCCATTCAAGCTTAGGCCTGGTCACTCAATGGTCACTAAATGAGCTCTAGACCTAGGGATGCCTAGCTTTATCTCTTGACGCATATTCATGTTAGTAAGTACTGTTCATGCTCATAAAGGTGCGACAATAAAGACAACCTTAAATAAACCACTTTCTTGTAGGTAAACAATCAAGATCTGACAAAGAAAAATCATCGCAGGATCATTACAAGAGAAGCAAAGACAGGAGATCAGACCCATATGACTCACGAGTATCGCGAGATAAGAATCATGAACCAAGGGACAGCTACAGCCACGATAGACACAGTAGACAAGAGCCAAGAGGGTACAATCCACAGAGCCATCATGAATCAGACAGGTAAATTTTAATTCGAGGGGGCCAGGTTCAAATCATGTGCTGATAAATTCAGACATCTGAAAAGAGTGGAATGGCATTATGAATCTGATAGGAAATTGGGGCATTGAAACATCAGCTTAACCCACAATGTGATGAAGCAGTGTTATTTGTTTTTTGTTGTTTGTTATTTGGTATTTATATAGCGCACTCTTCCTTTAGGTTAAAAAGTGCTTTCTTTTCCCTGGTCATTGGGTTTACATGCTTAAGTGTTGCTGCCATCTTGGTGCAGTAGCAGACAACCCCCCCCCCCCCCAGATACCCATTTATACTTCTTGGTGGACAGAAGCAATGCAGATAAAGTGCCTTGCTCAAGGACACAAGCGAAATGCACAGCGAGGGATTGAAACCCCCAAACTTGAGGCTGGGAAATCAAACTGTTCTCGCTGCACCAAACTGCTTCCATAAAGTGTAGTTCTGCCAGCTACATAAAAAGTAAATAACTCAATTAAATGGATTAAATAACTTCCATTGATGTGATATACAGTATAAGTAGTATAAGCATAGCATAAATTTTAAGGTCATCTCTGACCTCTTTTATTCTCTTAGTCTTTGCTCTTCCATTTATCCCATAAATAACTTTCTATAAACTTTCTCCTCGTAAGAGATACCTGATCCAATTCTTCTTTAATTTATTCATTCATTCATTCATTCATTTATTCATTCATTCATTCATTCATTTATTCATTCATTCATTCCTTCATTCATTCATTCATTCATTCATTCATCCATTCATTCATTCATTTTATTCATTTATTCATTCATTCATTCCTTCATTCATTCATTAATTCATTCATTCTTTATTTATTCAGCCAATAACATAAACAAGTGAGTACAATTAACAAATTAATAAATTTAACAAATACTTGAGACAATATATAACCTAAGTTGTCTGGGATTAAAAAAAATTAAGCATTGATAAATAAGTGTTTTCAAGTATTTATCTCAGCCTAAATTTTGTATCCTTAAGATTAAATAAAAATTGTCTTTTGGAACATTCAAATACACATTTTGATTATTTATGCAGAGACCGATCTTGGAGGCAGACATCAGAAAGTCGATATGAGAGAGGTCATCCAAGGGTATCCAGACATTCAGATGAATATCGAAGGCACTCTCACAGAGATGGTAGGTAGAACTTTGTTTTGAAGTGGAAAAGAACTATCTATTTACAGTATTCTTATCAATTTGATTATCAATCAATAAGAATTTGTAGAGAGCCATATATCAGTGATGCCAATGATGTTGGCATTACCCAAATTTGTAAAATTTTTGAAATTTAGTAGATAGGGATTATATAGAAGTCATTATGTGGTTCATTTTGTTTTTGTCAAAAGAAAAATCTTAGCCAATAGATGGTTTTGATCCCAGTACCCTGAATTTGAAGGTAAATATCTCATATCATTCAGTAATGCATTATAATTTGACAATGACATGGACTTTCCTTATAGGCTCAAGGTCACAAGCTAGTGTCGAAGTGGAAAGGAGTCATTCAAATGATCGCAGAGACAGAAAACAGAAGTATGAGAGGGACCGAAGTCCCCTGCACAGACAACAGCATGGTAGGTATACTCATAAGTGAGTACCTGGTATAATTGGTAATTGAGTACCTGGTACCAAAATACCAAATTACTTGTACAGTGTTTCAAAAGGACACGTTTGAAGATTTAAATAATAAATTTTATACCTTATAGATTTTAGCCCTGTGTTTACTCATACATGATGGAAGGGGAAAGTAATAATTACCAACAGACTCTATCTCTTTGCATGTGTCACTGCTTGAGCAAATTCTTTGACCCAATAATGATTAATAATCTTAAGGGTGATTGTGATAATAATAAAGATGGCGATGCTAAAAAATACCAACAAGATTCATACACTTACAGATAATCACTCGACAAGAGACCACCGAGGGTACAGCGAAGAAGAACCAGCTTCAAAAATGGAGGTTGATCGTGTTACTGAGGAGGAGGAGGAGGAGGAGGAGGAGGAAGAGGAGGAGCAGCAGCGTCAGCAACAGTCTGAAGATGACGGAGACCATGAACAACATTCTGATGTGGATGTAGTCTCTTCGGGGTAATTAAACTAAAAGTCATGAATACTTAATGCTGATTAATTAAAGTTTAATTATTTTAATTGTAAATTTCCCAGTATTTTTCCAGATTTTTCCATGTACAATATTAATTTGTGTCAGGAATTTATTATAAACTCGCTGTTTTTTAAATTCTGTTTCCAGGAAAGAATCAGGGGAAGAGTCTGAAGGGAGTGAGAGTGGGGAGACAGAGGAATCTGAAGATGACTCGGACAAAGATAGTGACGAGGAGAATAGTGAGGATGATGACGATGACGATGATGAAGAGGATGAATCTGCTTCTGAATCAGAGGCTTCTGAATCAGACACTGCTTCCAGTTCAGAATCTGGTATTTTTTAAATTTATTGTTCCATTTTTTTATTCTTTTTTTATCATTATTTCAAATTTAGAATTTGAAATTCCTGCAGCAGCCATTGTATGGCAAATAGAGGATGCAATGGAAAAGCGAGGGTAGTAGCTGAATAAAATAGGATGACAAGATGATGTTTAACTACTTTAACTAATTTTATTTTGTTCAGAAAATTTACATTCTAGTTGGAGGTCCAGGTAGAAAATTTGTTTTAGGCCAACTCAGATATAAGCTTACTCTCCAACTTTTGAATAATTTTTTTTCTTTTTTAAATGCTGCACCTGGGTTTATACAGAACCACCTAAAGTCAAAGCTTAGGTTCACTGCCTGAACTTACAGCTTTGTAACAAAAATTCTATACTTTGTCAGATCTAGCTCCTAGACTGGAATCACTGTGAGATGCCTAATCTAGACCTATTTAGACCTGGTATTAGTAATATGAAACTATTTTTTTAATGCTTTAATTCTATAATTATATTGACCCTAAATTTGGTTTATATTTTGGTGCATTGTTTTTTCAGATGATGGAAGTGAAAGTGAACACAGTGAAAAAGATGAAAATATAGCTCAAAAGCATCAAAGTACAAAACCTTTAAAACCCTCAAAAGGTAAATCAGCAATCCATTTTTTTCATAAAAAAAACCTGATACAAACTATCAATTTGTTTTTAATTGTGGTCTCAATCAAATAGACACTTCATCTTTTGAGTATTACTTCAATTTCAGAGCAGTACCTCAATAATTTGAGTAGTGCCTCAATTTGTTGAGTAGCACACAGGTCTGCTGTGTAGCATTCCAGTCTGTTTATTACTGTAGTTATTTAAACTAATTTGTACAGTGTCTCAATGTTCAATAGTGTCTCAATCTGTTAAGTGTACCCAAGTCTGTTGAGTAATACCTCAGTCTGTTTAGATAAGTAAAGCTTCAACATATTGAGTAGTGCCTCATTCTGTTGAGTAACATCTCAATCTTTTATCTCATTTTGTAGAGTAGTGTCTTAACCTATTAAGTAGTGCCTCAGTCTGTTTAGTACACTGATCTCTATTATAATAGCTGGATTGATCATCGGCCAATCATCGTACAGAAAAAAGTGAAACCACTGAAACCATATACAAGAGCCTAAATGATGTACCAGTTTAGACAAGTTTTTTTGGCATTTTTTTCTTGCCGTCCTTTTCAATTTAAATTTAAGGAAATGATTTTTTCACAGCCTCTTACTACTCAACGCGCCTGTTTGTGCAGTTTACAAAAGCGTGGGCGATGTCATGGTGTTGGTTGGTTATCGTTACATCGATTCAAAAGTTTTGCACTGTGATGACGTATCTGTGACGTTTTGGGCTCCCCAACATGGCTTAGGTGGCGTAGTAAAACCAGTCAATAAACAGTCTAGCCATTATAAATGTACAGTAGTGCCTTACTAAATTTAAGAGTGCCTCAATATATTGAGTAATGCCCAATCTATTAAGTTAGTGCTCCAGAATAATGAGTAGTGTATGAGTATATTTAGTGCCTCAATCTGCTGAATAATACTTTATTCCGTCTAAGAGAAACAAAATGAATTGAACTGAAATGAAAAGAAATGTATACATTAATTTTGTTGTTTTGGCATTTCATAAAAAAGCTGGGGTTTTTTCAGGTGTTCAGAAGTCTAAATTTGACAAGGATTCTTCACCCGAACCCCAAGTAGTGGAGCCAGAAGGCAGTCCCGGAAACTACCTCCCAGACTCACCACCAGTGTCACCAGTTGAATTGAAACCGGAGTTACCCATTTACCTGCCGGCAATTTCCGGATGCAGAAGTGTGGAGGAGTTTACCTGTCTCAACCGCATTGAAGAAGGTACATACGGAGTTGTGTACAGAGCAAAGGACAAAAAACTTGGTGAGTCATGTGTTTTCTTACATTGAAGAGAGAGATCAGCATAGCTCAGTCGGCTAAATTGATGGTCACTCTGTGTGTGCTGAACTGTGGATATCCATTGTTAACCTTTCGTACCACTTCAAATCTATACGCTGCTCTCCTTGCGTTTCCATCATTTGGAAGAGATGTTTGAAGCCGTCATGGCCCATCAGCACATTAAAGAATGCAGTACACTCTTTGAAAAAGTGTAGGGGACTGTTGTTCGGTGTACTGTCCAATCACCATTAGAAGGACCCCACCAGAAATACATACTTGGACTTTTGTACCTTATCTTATGGTGTTCACATCGAATATATTCAATCCAAAGAAAGACATCTTTGAACCAGCAGCAAATACAGTAATCCTATTTCTGTGTACTTTGTAACCCCTTATTCGGGTTAATGATGAGTTAGTAAATCTGAAAGTATCTTCGACAAGTATTGCAAAAGATCTACCAAAAGAGCCAAGAAATTCTGCAGTAAGATATTGAATTCCATGCTGTAACTATACAGTTCATCTCTGTTTTTCAATTTCATTTTTGTAGTTTCATTTTTACTTTTCTGCATTACTGTTTTGATGTTTTTGGGATTTTTTAATGTTAAGTTTTTAAGTTTTACATTGTTTTAAAGGCAAAGGGGTAAATGCATTGTTGAGGGAGGAAAGAAGGGTATTTAGAATATTGTTTCTGAAAACAAAGGTTAAAGTTTAGTTCTGTTTTATTTGTGGGTAGGTATAGCATTTGAATTATCAGTGATGGATGAGGACGGAGAAGAGATTAATTTAAGCTCTTTTGAGTTAGTTTTAAGTTTTTTGTTGTTCTTGTAATTTGATGTATCTTGTAATCATTTGTCTTAAGTTTGTGTTTCAGATGCACCTTTGTTTTTTTAAAGTGTGCCACTGATGTTAAAGTACAAGTCCAAATAAAATATTACTCTCTTTGTCATTCTTCTATCATCGGACTGGCATTCCGCAGCTCACCAGTGTTCATCCTTTGATGTTGTCTTTTAATATTATTTTTTTTCTTGACAGATGAGGTAGTGGCATTAAAAAGGTTGAAAATGGAGAAAGAAAAAGAAGGTTTTCCAATAACATCTTTACGAGAAATTAACACGTTGCTCAAGTCTCAACATCAAAATATTGTTACAGTCAGGGTACGTTATATTAGCCCATGTATTAATGATGATCAAAATGTGTAGATAGAGATACTAACAGTTCTACTGTTGCCGGGTAAACCGGCTTTGCTACAGTGATTTGGTTCACTCTGGTTGTCCCTGGTCTCCCCAAATTTCAGCTTTTTTGTTGTTGTTGTTGTTGTTGTAAATGACCAAATAAATAATGAAATGAAATGAAATGAAAGTCCATACAAAAGATATTCAACACAAATTATAAAACAAAAAGAAACGTAACATAAAGACATGTTAGCAGCATGTCAAGAGAGGATGATGGGCTTAAAGATTAACATCAGAGGGAATTCCCTTTAACTAAACTGGTAACCTGTAAAAACAATGATAATCATGAGAATTGAAACAGATTTTTTTTTTTCAATAATTTTATAAAAGAAACTAAAATTAGAAAGATTGGTGGTTAAAAAAATGTAAGCTACAGATTACAATAAAGCAAAAAAAAAAAATATTCTACTTTATTACCTCTTTTTTCAATATTTTTATAATAAATTTCATCTATAAAAATTGGAAAGATTTGATAGTTAAAAAATATAAGCTACGGATTACAATAAAGCAAAAAAAAAAAAAATATTATTCTACTTTATTACAACCTCCAAGTCATTCTTGTAATTGGCACATATCAGTTGAGCTTGCCTAAGTCAAATTGAAAATGGACTATACACATTGTTAATTCATGGACAACACAACAATTTGTCATATAAAATAAGATTGACTTAAAAATATTCGGGTTAGACAAAGTCAACATAGGCAAGTTTTTTTCTGTACTTGAATGCGAAAGAAATACAATGTATGAAACTACTGTATACACTGCGTACATACTCAAGTAATGATCCTGATGTTTGTAGGAAATTGTTGTTGGTAGTAATATGGACAAAATCTACATTGTGATGGACTATGTAGAACACGACTTGAAGACTTTAATGGAAACCATGAAACAGCCCTTCACACAAGGTTAGTAAAACTAATTTGATATTGTAACAGTTATTGTCAGCCGTTAGAAGTCTTGCTTACAATAGTGTGCGGTGTATGCCAACGTTAGTGTAGAGCATTGTTGATTAGGCTTGACGCATGTCAAGTTAGGCCTATCAATGAATATTCCATTTGATCAATCATTTGCATACAGCAGTAGACCCTATGCACTAGACAGGGAAAAGCATCATACCAACTGGTGAGTTCTCTACGTACAGCCACTTGTAAAAGCAGACCTATTTTGAACTCAGTTGTGTTCCGCTTCTTAAAGCAGCATGCATGGTACATGCTTTTGGTTTTCTTGAATTTGGTGACAATCATTAGCCAGACAACAATATTTCAACATTAATTATGTCATCATCAGAAATGACGATTACAACAGTATGGCTATAACATGGCTAGCATTAATAATTAGAGTGAACTTTGATAGTTAAGAAATTAAAACTATGGCATATATTATACAAGTATTGACTGCTCATGAGGGGAATGGTGAAATCTATTCCCCGAGGTGATGTGAAGACCATAGGCTAGTATGTTCCCAAGGAAAATAGTAGGCTACATTTTCCACATCACCAAGGGGCTATAGATTCCACCGTTCCTCGAATCTAGAGCAGTCAATATTTGTTTTATATACCTCATACATAGATTCTTCAAGACCTAAAAAAGTAATGAAAAGAGTACCCACCAAGTAAATCTAGGCTTAATTTCTAGGCTTAAGTGATCAAAGGGCCAATCTCTCTCAGCATCATAGAAGTCGGGTCCCATTACCATCTGTGCGTATCATAAATTACATAACAACCGTTAAAAGTGGGGCCTAGAGACAGGTAACAAAAATACTATCATTTAACGTGATGGTTCTTTTTCCCCGAGGAATTTATGAATTATCATTCAAACCTACGTCATAGGAGTGATTGTTGACATTATTACCCACTTTTTAACCAATCAAATGCCTAGAACCTATGTATGCAGTATTGCAATAAATGCAATCATTTTCAAGTTGAAAGTGAGTTTTCAGCTACTATTTGATATATGAATATATTTACAATCTTTTTCAAGGAGAAAGTAAGTGCTTATTAAAGCAATTGCTAGATGGAGTTCACCATCTCCATGACAACTGGATACTACATCGAGATCTCAAGACATCAAACTTACTGCTGAGCCACAAGGGTATATTGAAGATTGGTGACTTTGGTTTGGCACGGGAGTACGGTTCCCCTCTTAAGCCTTACACACCTATTGTGGTTACTCTGTGGTACAGAGCACCTGAGCTTCTTCTTGGAATTAAGGTAAAGACAAGAATTTTTTATACTCTTGTTTCCAAAACCCACCAACCAATGATATGTTGTTTTTGAATAGAAAGCTTTTTGCCCTGTTAACGTATACATAAAACAACATAAATTTCGGAAAAAAAAGTGAAATATTTACTTCAGTATGCCTGCTGCTGTCTTAAAGTCTCCTAAAATGAGGTCTCTTTATTTCTTTATCAGATATAAAAATATAAAGCATTTAACTACTGAACCAGTACATCACAACTTTTCATTCTTTATGACCATGTAATATGATTTTGGGCAAAAGGCTGAAGGCATCGTCTATTATTTTTTACCTCAATTAATAGCCTACTTTACATATTAAATATTCAAATAGTACATTATATTTGTTTTTTTAGTGGGATATATATATAGTCTTGTGTTGAATGTTCAACATGTTGATGTGTGATGTCATGTGGTAATGATTTGTATCTTGTGTTAAATGCTCAACATGTTGATGTGTCCTGTGTATAATCTGTCTCTTATACACATCTAGATGTGTATAAGAGACAGATATATACACACACTCACTGAGTAACAATGTCAGTTTAGATTTTGTAAATATTACTCCAGTCCTATTAACATGTTCTCTGTTCAGTGATCATATGGTTTTCATTTTTTACAGGAGTACGCCTGTCCGATTGACATGTGGTCAGTGGGTTGTATATTTGCTGAGTTTCTTACCATGAAGCCACTATTCCCAGGCAAATCTGAAGTTGATCAGTTGAACAGGATATTCAAGGTAGAATAGAAATTTTGTTACGAATTCTTAGACTCTATGTATTTTACATTATTACCACCATTCAAACATCTATAGATTATGCCCTCAGTTCCCTGGGGAGAACAACTCCATCGAATATCTTCGATGAGAAACACACCAATGAAAGCCCATGAAAGTCCTCCAATGTGCTCTTTTTTGGTGGTGATTGCGGCGCAGTACACCAGGACACAATCCTCCTCTACTGTATTCCGAAGAGTGTTTAGCATTTTTTTAACTTCCACTTGGGCCAGTGCCAGTTTGTACAGCTGAACTTGCCTAAGTCGAATCCAAAATGGCATTGAAAAACTGTTTGACTGAGATAAAATTTAACTTACAGATCACTAATTAATGGAAAACCAACAATTTGGCATGTAAAATAAGATCGGCTTGGAAATGATTAACCATAACCATATTTTTACAATCTTATTATTGGTATTTACAGGAACTTGGAACACCAAGTGAAAAGATCTGGCCAGGCTACAATGAACTACCAGCAGTGAAGAAAATGACGTTCGCTGATCACCCTTACAACAACCTTCGCAGTCGATTTGGAACTTATTTGACTGATGTTGGCTTTGAGCTTATGAATAAGTCAGTATGATTACTTTTATTTTATTTCATAACTATCAATTCACAGATAGGATGCTACAGTATTTCAATTACTTCCTGTTATGAGGCTTAAGAGTGGAGATGTGTTTGTTACGAGAAACAAAATCCTGGCGACACAGTATTTGAACCCTGGACCTGGGGATTGGAAGAGTAATAATAAAAGATAATAATTATATTAATACTAATAGTATGTCAGATTCTGTTAATAGCAGCTAATACTGATGCAAGAACAATAAGGTTTAATTGTTTACATATAAACTTTGTTGTGTTTTAGGTTCTTGACCTATAACCCTGCTCGCCGTATAACAGCTGAGGAAGCTAAGAAGCATGAATACTTCAAAGAAAGGCCTTTACCAATCGATCCGTCCATGTTTCCCACATGGCCAGCAAAGAGTGAAATGGCAAGGGTGAAGAAGAGTAGCCCAAAGGCACCAGAAGGGGGACAGCAGTATAAGAATTTAGTAAGTAATATACCGTAAAACCTCGAATTGAAGCCCAGTGGGCTTTATCTCAAGATGAAGCCCATCTCGAATTAAAGCCCCCTCTTTAGTTTGCAAAATTAGCCTCGAAAAGAAGCCCATTGGCTTCTTTTCAAGATAGCATAGGCTTCATTTCGACACACTGTACATGAATTTCAGAAAACAAAATGAATTAAATACAAGCTTGGTTTATACAGTAGTTTAGGTGATTTAATGCCAGTTAAATACACTCCATGGTACAGATTGATGTTACAGTGGCCTTATTTATTGTTTCATAGTACAAATTCACAAAATTTACAGCATTCATTTTGAAAAGAGGGCCCCTCTTTGCTTTGCAAAAGTAGTCTCGAAAAGAAGCCCATCCAAAGTTCGCAAAAAAAGGAGCACAGGGCTTCAATTCGAGGTTTTACGGTAGTGTCACTAATATATTGTTTCTTGTGTTGCGTGTGTAACATATTGATGTGTCTTGTCTTGAATGTTCAACAGGTTGATGTGTCCTATGTTAATGAATTGTGTCTTGTGTTGAATGTTCAACATGTTGATGTGTGATGTCATGTGGTAATGATTTGTATCTTGTGTTAAATGCTCAACATGTTGATGTGTCCTGTGTATAATTGTTCAACATTTTGATGTGTCATGTGTTAATGAATTGTCTTGTGTTGAATGTTCAACATGTTGATGCGTCCTGTGTACTGATGTGTCTTATGTTAGTATGTTCAACAAATGTGTCTGTTTTAAATGTATATCATAAACATGTCTAATGTTGTCTTGTTTTTTAACAGGATGATGATGAAGCAGATGAGGGTTTCCGATTAACTCTTGCCTCGCAAGGTGCTGCTAAAGGATTGGGATTCAGTCTAAAGTTCTGACCTCGGTTTGCTAATTCTACCGCCATATAGTTTAAGCATTGTCCACACCAGTATATGGGTGTGATGACAGCATTCTGCCATTATATGTGTGGACACATATATCACTCTAGTGTGAACAGAGGTTTTACTACACCTACAGAGTATATTCAACTACAGAAAAACATGTAATGTGTAGACATTGACATAGTCTCGTGGAACATGATGTTGATAATATCCCTTGATGCATTGGTGGCTTGAGAACTATGCTCAAAGAAGATCCAACAAGTGTGACAGAGGATCTAAAAACAGGGGGATCAGAACCAGTGAGGCCATCTATAGCATAGGTCAGGGTCCAGGAATAAAATAATGGGGAGAGATTTTTTGGCTTAGCATGGCCCAAAATACAGTATGCTTTTAGCCCACAGTTTAGGAATTGACAATCAAAATAACTTGTTTAGTATGTAATATGTCTGATTCATTTTATTAACATTGGCCAACATTGTATCTGAAGGCTTCAGCCCAGTAAGTCAGTGTCAGTGGTGTCTAGAAATATATGTTGAGGGGAAGAAGTGTCTGACAGAGGGGTTTAACAATTTCCATTGGAGACCAGCAGAGCCTCCAGGCACTGGGGTGAATTCTTTTTGCGCAACTACTTCTCAGTATATCATTACGTTTGTTTGTACTATACAGTGTTTATTTTGCTTTAACATTTTTTTTTATTAGTTTTTATTTAACATTTATTGAATTATATAGTTTTTTTGAAAATGTTTAGGCTACCAAAAAAAGGAAAATACATCAGAATAAGTTATTACGTACCAAGGATGGGTCAGAGAGCCATCAGCAAATAGCATTTGGATGTAAATTGTAATGGCCTAATCGATTTAAATCATATGATTGGAATGATGGAAGTTTATTTTATAAATGACAAAACCTTACTACTGTATTGTCCGAAGATCAGAAAAAATATTTTAAGCCTTCTTTGGAAGATGGATATGTATATAAAGATTTTTCATGATGAAAATAAACTCTTTTTGCAATAAATTCTGTGTTTTTGAGTTTTTCTCATTTAATATTAAATGCACATTTGGAAATGTTGTAGAATAGTCCGTTAGCCCAAATGGGCAGCAAGCTAACATACCATAAATTACCAAGTGCTGTACTGTATATGCTGCAGTGCTTATATTTTTTGCACTTAATTGATTATTACAAATTATGTATGTGTTCTTAAGATCTCGTGTTACATATTCTTGTTAAAATGATGTGTTGTAATTGATTAATCAGTCCTGATATAATGTTTGCATATAATTATTCCACAAAATATCGGGTGTTTATAAGAAATACATGTTTGATGCATACTTACTTGATATTTAACTACCCAAATTTCTGGAAACCAACCAATTTCCCACAAATGCAGAATGTTTGCTTATTTTTACTACTGTGTTATCTTCTGTGCACATCCAATATAGGTGCGGTTACACACCAAGCCAGGAAGCAGCTATACATGATCATGGTGTTTAACCATTGCCTCTCTGAAGTCACTTGATCATAGTATCACTACTTTGCAGCAAAATGCAATGTGATGTGTTTAGGAAGGCTTATTTAACCACAGCTCCAGAAAGTGGGTTTTTTCCAACTTGGGTCATCTGGAAAGTGTTATTTTTTGTGTACAATTGGTTAATAATCTTTTTTGCAAGTTTTGTGCACTTGCAACCATTAGCAGTGTTTTTGAAATACACATGATACTTCACCCTTAGACACAGCCATACAAAATATATAGAGAGCTCAGGATAATGGCATTTTCAAGAGGCATAAAAATAAATTTACACAGCATCACATACAGTATAGGAATTTTTCTGTATTCATTCTTAGTAGTAAGAACATAAAGAGTAGCATTGAAGCAAAATAATGATAATTAATATTTTTAATCGTGATCACAAGTTTTCTTTAACTGTCATATTTTACATATTGTACTGGAATGTTATAACCATTATTATAGATAGAACTACAAAAATTAGCCAAAAGCCATTTAGTAACCTCAATACAGTAATGTATAACAGTGCATTTGCTGAAGTAAAGTGTCATGTTTGTATAAACATAATACTAGACCTCTTTAAATACAACTTAAGTTTACAACAACTTTCAATTAACAACAAATGTACTATGCATCCAAAATATTGAGTTTCTGTTCACTAGTTTGGAGAAATATGAGTTCCATTTTGGAAGCCGGTTCAGAACCATAAGTGAAGGAGCCTCAGGTCTAATGAAAGAGATATTGTGAGTATAAGGAGGCGAAGTTGTTTGGTTTGTGACATGGTTCACAAAAACGGGGTCTAGACTTCCTGTCATGGTGATTTCTTTTCTTAAGGTATTCCAAGGCATTAGTTCTTTGAATCGAATAAGTAATTGAAATGAAATGTACTCATTCAATTGCATGGGAATATGATTATGGTTTTGTACAATGTAATGCTGAGTAGAAAGAAAGCAATCTGCTAAAATAGGCATAACTTTAAATCTAAATTGTTTAACCTCTACAAATTAACAGTAGGCAGCAATTCATAAACTTAACTCCTTTTTAAATATCAAAATACTTTTCAAAATAACATAATAGCTAAAGAATTACAAAGCGCGGCACTGCACGCACAAAAATGTATTTACACAATTTTCGGTCAGCAACATGATAATTAGTTTTTTTAATCACATGGAGAGACCATAGTTCTAATTACTTTCTTCAAATTTGTGCAATTATTTTAATTAATGAAATGAAATTAATACATATTTTTGATAACTGTTCTAATAAGCAGGTTTATCATGCTGTTTTTTTTTTTACAATTGAAAAAAAAAATAGAACTCAAATTAAATTCTTAATTATTTTGTTAATATTAATATGGGTAAAGTAATGTATTTTTTGGCACCTTAATTTCAGATTTATTAAATAATACCCAACACCCAAGTAAAGATAAAAGTTAATGTAATGAAATATTATACATAAGACATAAGACATCAGGTTCCAGAATCTATCATACAATAATTAAGCAGATAAAAAATTAAAACAAAAAATAGAAATGTAAAAATAATATTTTATGCATCAGTAAGCTCAAAAACTGTTAGTTTTATCCTACTGTAAATCCATGACCAGACAATTTGAAGTCTCTTCAATTTCAGACTCAACATGTGTGTCAAATTCTGGAATAACTGCTTCAACCTTATCATTCTCACATTCTAACGCTTCTGCATGTGTTGCCTCGAGAGTCATGTCTACAGCATCATGTGCATGACTTTTATCTGGATTTGGTTCGTCGGTTTCACCAATGGTAGTGTCAGTGACACATATGGTTGGAGCCTTATCATCATTGTCTATAACATAATCAGTTTTCTGCCCATAGTTCATTCTTTTCTTAATGCGAATCTTGCATGTAATAGGGCTGGTTTCTGGTGTTGAACTTTTATCGGCTTGTACCACTCCCTGACCTGAACCAACCTTAAATACTTTATTGAAAGGGTTGTGCATAGACTTCCGAAACGAAACTTCTTTCAGTTTAGTTTCCTGTAATTTTCTCTGAGCATCCTCAATCAACTGCAGAGGATCAATCCCTTCATCCACCCTTTGTGGACAAATGAGGGCATGCTTTTTTAGACTTTTTAAATAGCAGAAGTTCCTCTTGCAGAATGGGCAGGCATGTTGTTCTTTGAGTAGGTTTTGCTGGCTACATGAGCTTGGTGTCACTTCACTTGCAGTATCACTTACTTCAAGTATTTTCTCCTGGTTAGGACATTTTTTCTTGTGCCTTTCCAACCAAGCAACAACGCTAAATAATTTACCACATCCAAAACATTTGTGAATATCATTAACTTCTGGCAGAGATTTCCTTCTCGCATGTTTATTTGGATCATATTGTTTTGATATTGATTTCATTTGTCTCATCTCCTCATCGGCTTTTAAGTCTGTAGGCATGGCAGACTGCTGCTTTACCTCTTCATATCCGGATACTTTTTTATAATTGTGACCAACTGGCATACGTTTTGAGTTCTGAAGTGGTGTAGTTACAGTTGCACATTCCATGATATGTTTGTGAAATTCTAGTTTATCAAGGAATACAAGAGAACACTTAGTGCAAGTATTCATAGTATCATGTCTAACAGTTTCATATCTCTGATTGGTCATCATGTTCAGGAAGCCAAGCTTTCGGTGATGAGCAAATGGATGGTGACGCTGAGGATTCACCGGAGCTGATTTTCTCGGACTCTGATTTTTCAAAGTTTGAGAGTTTGCGAGCTGCTTGCTATGACTCATCATTGGACTTGTGTTCCGAAATTTTGATGGAGAATTCTTTTTCATATCATCTGATATTTGTGATATTCTGCTTTTGGGAACAAATTGGTGATCTCTATTGGGCGGCATTGCTTGGACAGGTACAGTGAAGTTAATGGGACGCAGTTCATCTGGCCCAAGCTCTGTATAAGTACATTGAGCATTAGCATGGCAGTCTCGTTGGTGAGTCTGTAAATTTGACAGGTAAGCAAATTCGCGTTGACAAACTGAGCATGCATACATTTTCCCAACTCTATGCAATGTTGATCTGTGCTCAACAAGATCTTTAGGATCCTTGAAAAGTCTAATGCAGAACTCACATTTGTAGTTATAATCTTCAGCATGAATTATTACGTGTTGGGTCAGGTCTTTCATCGAGTTAAATGGGGCCTCACAAACGTTGCATTTGAAGGTGCTAATAGTTTTTGTTGGTGTGTCTCCAAAAAGTGTAAGCGATTGAGTTTGCTTCTTGAAGTTTTCTGATGGTGTCGATGATAACTTTGCTTGGTTATCTGCAAATGATGCCATTGATAAGTTTTGTGGTTGATTCTCAAACACATTTGAAATTGACTGACTGGAAGGGGATTGGTCAGGATGTGATGAGATGCATACGGGTGTCCTAAACTGAGGATTATGTGTTTTAACAAATGCTGGTTCATTTTGTAGAATATCTCTTGCATTCTTTTTTGAAGCTGCCCGCACCTCTAAAATCTCCTTGACTGTCTTGGGTTGGGAATTTTTGGGCATCTCATGTGGCAGATGCATATTTGGTACCATCGGTACCACAACAGATTGATGTGCAACCCTTGGTGACTGAAAGCAATTAATACTTTGGTTTTGAGCTGGCATTGGAGGTGGTGAACTTGTCATATGAGACTTTGGTCTGATTTCTGGTGCGGATTGCCTTACATTTCCATACAACTTATTTGTAATCAGATCAATTGGAATATTTGATGGATTTGGTATGGAAGTTGTACCAGAATAATGATACTGAGGTTGCACTCCATGTTGTACGCTAGTGTGAAAATTACTATGTGCATGTCTGTGGCTTGCATCATCACTTGGAAGAACATTAGATGCAATCTTACTCACTGAAGAATTTAGGGGATGAACTTCATCTGGATTCATACCAGGAAAGATCACCTTTGCAGAGGGTGAGAGTTGTCTGACTCCATGTTTACTTTGGCCTACTAAAGTCTGTTGCTGTCTTAAAGGAGATGTAGACATCCTTTGGCTAAAGGGAGTTGCAGTATAAGGTGGCGGAAGTTTTCGCTTTTCTTCACGAGGATGGTTAGCTCGGAAAGGCATTGATTGTTGTGAAATTCCTTTTGGGTGTACCAAACATCGTGGTCGGTCTGGGTTTGAGGGTCTGATAAGACTTTGTTGGGTTGTTAGATCTAACACCATTTCTGATGTCCTCTTTCTATTTTTCACTGCTAAGTTCAGTACCTGAGAATCAGGTTGAGACAATGTATCATTTTTTTTCCGTGGTACATAAGGTTGAGGTATGCTTACTTGTGACCATGGGGAAGCAGCAACTGCATTATAGAATCTTGTTTGGGAAGAAGTGACAACCTTTTTACTTGTAGTCATGTGCCCATGTAATTTACAATTGCTAGATAATACTCTCTGAAGCACATTACTTCGAGCTGGTTCACATGTCTGTTGCCACAATGCTGTCTTCTCAGCCGGTCTAGTTTTGTTTGATTCTTCTGATAAATTTGATCTTGAGAGATAGTTCCGGAGGCAACTCCCTTCTGTTGTAAACTTGAATGTTTCATTGCTGTCAGTTTCTTTATTATTTTGATCAATGTTAGGAGTTTCTTGACTATTATAATCAGTGAGTGAATGGATGGATCTTGCTGATATAACTCTATCACATGATGAGCCTGAAGGAACATTTTCATGTGGGAGAGGATTAGTTGTTTGGATCTGAAGTTGTACATCCTGACATACACTTTCTTTAGTCTCTTCTTTCAGAGTATCAATATTTCCTCTTAGATGCTGAAGACCATGAGCATCAGATAATGCATTACATAATGTGTGGTGTGTTTTAGCATTGTTGTGGGTTTCCATTGTTTCTGGGCAAGTAACATCCTCATCAATCCAATGCTCACTTTGATTTTCAGTACTAAATATCTCGGACCTTTGCTCACCTTCAGATGATGAAGGCACATCAGATGAAGCAAGTCCAAAGATAGCAGCAATTGATGGGGTGTCTTCAGGAATGGCAGTAATAGTTTGCATCGATTGCGCCTGTCCTGATTTTGACGATGGTCCATCCCTGTTCTGTGATTCTTTGGCCACTGAGCTAATAGGGTTTTTATCTATAAAGTAATCTTGTTGGCCATTTGCTTTCCGTCTTCTTTTTATACGGATATTGTGGACAAGTCTTCTATGTCGGATACAATTTGAAGGTGAATGAAATTTTTTCCCACAAACTTCACATCGCAATTTCTTTAGTTTATTGGTTCTAGGCTTGGTTCTTGGTTGACTTCTATGCCCTTCAAAAGATCTTCCTAATTGTTTATCAACAGTATTATGTGGATTATTTTTAGGAGCAGGAATCTTTTTCATTTTTTTTCGTACAGATTTGCCATGGAGAGGCAAGTGTGCCCTAAAGTGACTATATGACAAAAATTTACGCGAACAATCTGGACAACTAATCTGTTTTGATGATGGCACATTATGTTGGAGGACATGTCTCTCTAGCCAACCAGGATAACGGAACAGTTTGTCACAATATGGACATGTGAAAGTGGCTGATCGACGGAAAACGGTAATTTCATTATTGGTTGTCTTCATTTCAGTACCTGCCTCTAAATCTGAACTTAGGTCAAAAACTTCTTGTTGCGTTGCTTCATTATCTCCTTGTAGTGTTTGATTTTGTTTATCCCACAATCCAATAGCTCGCTTTCTTTTTGTAACCACCTCTGTAACACTAACTGAGCGTGTGCGTATTTTTTCTCTGGGATGAGCAATTTTGATTGGTTTCTTGTATACATGGTGTTTCTGAGCTGAATGATTTTTTCTGTAGTGAATCTTCAGTCCAACTTGTTTAGAAAAGATTCCCCCACATACTTTACATTTGTAAAATGGACGACCACGTTTATCCCTTATTTGATCTTCAGGTCCAATTTGAAATACATCAACATTCTTGTTAGGAACTGGTACTGTCTGCTTTACATCGTTCGTTGATGATACATCTGGTGTCTGAATATTCAAATCAACATTTGTTTTGTTATCAAACATGCCTTGATCGTTCAGTTGGTCTTTAACGACAGGAGACAGTAAAGGTGGCGACAGTTGTAATTGAAGACTAGTGTCTGGTAAATCACTATCATCTTTTGTGATTTGCAATTTTTTTAGAGTAGGCATTGTTGAGTCATGAAGACCTGAAATAGAAAAAGTATTTAAGAAAATGTAAGAAAAAAAACTCCAAAAAAGTATTTAAGAAAATGTAAAAACAAAAAAAAAAACTATCAAATTATAAAGCTTTACACAACACTAAAAGGAATAAAAATTTAAAGTGTAGACAGCAAACTTCTCAGGCCATTAATATATGTGGCTGGGACAGACGGAATCAGTCGTATGTCGCTAATCCCCCAATGGAGATACAGTCCTATCAATACAACAACACCATACATTAAAGTAAAAAAAAAAATTGATATCCATTTTATTGAATAAAACCATGTACTAAAGAATCAGTCTATTTTGTTATTTCCCCACATTTAACCTAAAATCAGCCAAAAAATGACATTTTGTGAGGCCATCCTTATTACAAATCATCAAAACTTGGTCCGTTTTTTGCCGTAATGTTGCCATATGAAAGGAAGTGGCACATTTTTACTATCAACTCCTATTTTATTGAACAATTGAGGCACTAGCTCTTTATTATAGCCAATTAAAATGCATTTTTAAGTTGTAAAAAAACCTGAAAGGCCCTTAACGATGGCGCTGTATTCTGCTGTGATTGGTCAATGTGATAGGATGCTTTAAAAATCTAAACTGCGCATGCTCACAAGCTAGCATGGCGTAAACAAACCTAGAAAGTATGGTGTTTAAAATATGCGGAAGATGCGACGAAATAGTTAGGAACGAGAAGTCTGAAGATTTTTTGATACTGACTTCGATGTTTTGAACGATGAAGAAGAGCATTAGGTGTTGTTTCAGCTTGTAGAAACTAGGCCTATGTCAGACTCATTAGTAGGGAAGTGCCTACTATTTCTAGCTAGCCTAGGCCCAGGCTCTCTAGGCCAACTACGCTTGGTGTGGTTTAATTTATTATAAGAAAAGACTGCATTTTTTTCAAAATACTGCAACACTAATAGAGAATTTATCAGACATAAAATAAAGAGGAGACAATCCACATAAAGCTTTGTAGGTACAGTACTCTTAAAATATCTAACCATCTGCATGCATTTTCCTCGCTAGGGCTTTGTGTGTGACTCGCATTTTATGAGCTAATGAATAACTAATTAGGAAGACTCCGATATTCAATCACGCACTACGGCACTGAGTAAAACACTGCATGTGGACTGCCAGGTTTTCAATCAGTGAGTCACAGCTAGATAGTTTATCGCAAGTAAAAAATGCTGCACCTCGTCAAGGTTTAAAACTGAGGAAAAACTTTATTCGTATATTAATCCTCGATTAAAACAATGTTTTCTTAACTTGAAAAAACATCGTAAAAATAGATCCTACAGAAACAAAAATTGTATGAATATAGGCCTTTGGTCTAGCCTAGGTCATGGGTTTAGCAAATAATTATACCCCAAGGGCCAAGGCTTCACACGCTCTTAAAACTCGCATTGAAGAGTCATCTTACTCTTAAAATTAAATATGTGTCATTATATTATCCATTAAATATATAATATAAAATCGTCAGAATTTACATGATATACCAAGAAACACTGGTGGTATATATACCTGCTATAAATTCCCTTGTGGACTCTGCTTCAGACGTCCCTTCATGGTCTCTACAGTCTGCCAACGACACCACATTTGAGATCTGAATTGAACCACAGATTCTTGCAAGACTGCTGCTACTGTCTTCATTTTCATTCAACAAATTTGAATTTACTTCCATTAAATCTCTCTCAGTCTTCATTTGTTTCTTTAACTTCTTATTATTAATCTCACGGTCAACCATCATTCTCTTCTTCAATTTTGCATTTGAACTTTTGTTGTACTTTCTTGGTACATGAGATAAGCTCTTTACGTCACTTGTTTTGCCTTCAAGTTCGGGTGACTGTGTATATTCTTTAATGTCTTTTAATTCTTTGATTGAATTCTTATTCAAAGTTGCATCGGTTTCCTTACTTCGATTTCCACCATCAAGCCAGTTGCATGATACGTCACCGGAATTGTTGAACCAACACAATAACTCATCACCAGGATAGATATCCTACAAAGAAACAAATTCAATAAACTTTATAAAACAAATTTAAATAATAAATACTTAATTTTTACAATAACACTTCTTCTTTTGCACATGCATCGTAAATCATAATATCAATTTACAATTATTGGTACAAAGTATTAGTTTCACACAGATGTTAGGGTTACATGCAGGGAGGGCCACATGAAGGCTGCTTTTAAATCCTTCCATAGTGAAATATAAAGAGTTTTTTACAGTTTAGGCTTTTGTTGACAACGTACAGCAATGATCCATCATTAGGCTCAGTGATAGGATTTTATTGTTGAGTCATTGGCACTAGCTCCGAACACCTTTTGCCTGTCATCATTAACAATAATTACAAATAAGTTATTTGTATGACACCATGACTAGGTCTAATACTGCGCCTGTGTGTGTGAACAGCCACAAAGAGACAATATGGCCAACCAAACTTACTCACTATACTCAAATTGTGTATTTTCTATGCTCAGAATCTCAGATACATTGTCACTTTATTTACTCAAAGAGTACACACAATTAAAAAAAATCAAAACAAAACAAAAAAGAACAATTGAGAATACAAATAAGTACATTCAACAGTGATTTTAAATAAGTAAAATGTACACAAACATTTTATGATTTTTCCAACAGGATATTTCCTTGTATCACTAAAACATTGTATCAAACTGAAATACCCAAAGCTTTGTAACTAATTCAGTGTATTGACATAGACATACTCTTTATTTAATCCATTGCTGGAAATTACATAGCCCGTACAGGTTACCTAAAAAATTTTCCATTATACAGTTTAATTCCTCTAGGAATAAAAGACTGAGGGTGACGTTTTGTGTAGCGACCAGTACTCTCAGTCTACCACTTCGTTCTATAAAGCTTTCAACGACCACCAGACAGAGGGGGATGACCTACATCATTCAGCAACCCCTCAAACTAGTAGACAGAGTGTACAGGTCGCAAAGGTCAAATTTTAGGTTATTGTGGGAAAGTTGTATTAAGATGTGTGATTATTGCAAGAGTATATAGACATGAAACTCCTAATAAATACAATACCTTGATAACTTTGTAGAAAATGTTCCTCTTCAACTGAGTTGCGATCATATTTTGTTCTTCGTAGAATCTTGCACTTTTCACAAATCTCAGCCAATTTGCCTTTGTTATATCAGAAGCATCAATCACACAAATTGGCTTACGAGACGGACTGACAATCTAAAGCAAATCAATAAACATATTTTGAAATTCAGCTAGTAAATCTGATTAGTAAAATAATCTAATGTGTATGTACTGATTGAGTGTAGCATGAATTAGTTTGAAATTTGCAGCATAGATAAATTTGATACTGTTCACTATTTTTAGTATTTTTATGAGAATATTGATTGCATAATTACTGTATAAGTAAATTGTTGAATACCTTTATGTTATTTTAAGATGTATAAGTTTGTGCGATGACTGTTTTGAGATTAAAATCCATGTGATATGATGCGAGGTCAAAAATGGGATGGAAAACAAAATGCATTTTTAAACAAACATCTCACCTCCCACGAGTAAGTGTAGTTGACAACATCTTCAATTTTCTTTCTCACTCCCTTAAATGGTCCATACTTTACACCTTTCTTGATTGTGTACTTTGAGTAAATGCCTAATGAAATAGGGATCATAAAATATAACTATCATCATGTCATAATAGGCACAAAAAATTTATGGCCTGCTCACAACCTAAATACAGAGTAAAAGTGCCCAATTTGATGTGCACACACCATTCTAGATTGAAAGTTATTGCCTCCTTCCTGGAATAATATCTATTAATTGGACTGCTACTTCAAACAAAGCAGAACTTGTAGATAGTGGAATGTAATTGTGGGTTTCTTTATATTTTCTTTGTTACTTCTGTAAGTTTTGCCATTTTTCTTGATACGATAATAACTGATGTACATTATTTGAGTGAAGCTGTAAATAAATTAGGTGTACAACTACCAACATCTTCATTACAAATTCATTTTTTCTTTATTAGTTATGCTGTAATAGTTTTATTAATTTCGACTATACAGGTATTTAGTTTTGTATTGAAGTGAAACAATCATTTATCCATTTGGGTGTTCAAAGTAAATATGTTTAAATAAATAAAATAGTGATTTTTTCCTCTCTCCCCATCATCTGTGGAGGTGTAGGAGATGGAAGCTCATACTTAAACTTTGAAAGAATACTTACCAATCCTGTTATCATCTGTCTGAGAGGGACGTAATTCAAGCTCCCTAGGAAGGAACATTCCCTCTGGCATTGCCTCTTCCATGATTACTAGTGATCCCTGGAAATGCAGCAAAAAAAAATTTCAAATTTTTGACCAAGTGGAGGTTTTTATAACGACTTCATGTAAAGCAATAAATATTACTTACAGTACTACTTATTACTTATTTATCAAAGCATTCAACTGTACAGTAAAGTTTGAAGATAACACAATTTTCCACTTCAATTTTACCAACATATACTGTAATTATAAAGTAGCACGAACAAATCAATTTCTGTACGGGGATTACTTTTTACTCATCTCTCTCAAGTTAATTGATAAAATTAAATTATTATGAACCAGATCAATTACCAGTTGTTCACAGTCAGTTTTTATTGCCATGCACTGAACCAAAAGAATTCTCAAGTCTATTACCAGAAAGAATGGGTGGGGGTTCCTATTTTTTTTCCCTTTCCTTTTTTTTTAAAATGCAAGGTGATGGTGTGGTTTGGCTTATAAAGCGTTCAAAAAGGGGGGGGGGGTCTGACTGAGCCATAGAAACTCCCTTAATTAATTTCTAAATATTCTGTTAGTGCTCTAGCACCTCGGGAAAAAAAACCCATTAAATTAATCATTTAAAAGATCAAATAAGTTAAAATAACTACCTACAAGATAAAAAAAAAGATTTTATTTTTTTCCCTAACAATTTTTACAAAAAAGAAAAATTCATAATGCTAATTTAAAAGTCTATGAAATATATGAATGGTAATATTTTAAGTAATGTTAATTAGTGAGGATGTTTTATTGTTGGCTTACAACTGAAAGCTAATATTAATAACTTAGTCTGAGTGAGCAACTTCAAATATTTACTATGATTGTTCATTTTTTTTTTATCTCAACACAGGCAGTGTATATATCGTTAAATTCTAATTAGACCTACAATTTCTGAACTGAAACTCTGGCTGACGTGGTCAAACAACTGATTACTTATCTGTAGCTTATATCATGAGAGATTTTGTTGGCCACTACACCTGGTATTTCGCAACTGTGCTATTAAAATAATGTTGTCTACATGGAAGTTGGTATAAAATTACAAAGAAACTTAAAACCTATAAATACTACATATAGTATTTGGAACCACACTATTCAACAATTAAGCAGACATTCCTTCTTTGTTTAAAAATACAATTGAACTAAGAAAATAAAATGTTATTATTTGATCTTCCCAGGTCTTAACCTAAAGGCCTTTAGCGACCATGAATATTATATTATACCTGCACTATATCCACCCATTGCCACTGAATAAACAAGCAAAACTGTACCTAAAGTACCATACAGTAGATGTACAAGTAACAATCCAAATATGAATAATAATGCTGCCACAACTTTAGGATTTTGACAAGTGATCCTCTGAACAGTTGAAGCAATATGCAGTACCATTTTCCACCTCAATAAAAATGTATGCATGTATGTACAGTAATGTATGTACAAAAAATATGTACAAATATACTCATATAAATCTGATACTGAGCAAAAAATAATTTTAAAAGTCTGAAAGTTGAATTGTTCTTTTAGTTATACAGCTCTACTGTATATTCAAAGAGTGGAGTTTCTCATAAATTTTAAGACATCTTTTGATTGTTGAACACTCAATGATTTACAGCTCAAATGTTTCAAATATTTTTTCCTAACCACACCAATCAATCTTGTGGGTATCACTCCCTCAATAAATAAGTTGAATATCCTCAGAGTACCATCCAATGTTAACAATTACACATTGGCAACAAAAGTGTAGCATGATAATATAAGAATGATTTTCCACTAGAATCTATAACGATGTGTTTAGTCGCCATAGGTATTTCATTCTTTTTTTCTTGTTTAGACCCACTCAGAACCACCATGTGTTTGCATAGATATAGCAACCAGCTGTTTATATTGAGGGAGTTGGCCTCCTCACATGATCTGTGCCCTTTTCAAGGCTGTTTCCAGCAACAACATGTCCCACACTAACTGCACTACTACTTAAAATAATATGATAAATCAATCAAAAGTAGAATGCTTGGCGACTGCTTCAGAGCTAGGCTAGACCTTATAGCTTAATAAAATAATCATGTTAATTAAATCAACAGTCTAATCTCTGTATTTTTCTGACGCGATAATTAATACTATTATGGAGCTATATATTACTATCCTAGAAACACGTTGATGATAAGTTTGTTTGTTTACATTATTTGATGTATTGTCACACTCCACATACAAAGCCTGCATATTATGTATTCTATAAACAACAAAAAGTAGATTCTGGGTCCGTAGCGCTCAATGCAAATTGCACCAACAACGTAGCCAAGAGCTTTTCTTGATACATTTATATTTCATGTAACAAACCTGGCGACTGTCAAGCCGCGGCGTCATCTAGGCCTCTACCGAAAGTCGATTGATTAGGTAGGCCAGCGAGCTGCGAACGATATAGATAGGTCGAACAAACAAAACACGCACCTCAAATCCATATTCAATGTTGAATTTATAAAGCAAAAGAAAATACAACCTTCAGATAAATACAAATCGATAAATATATCTGATTGCTGTGATTGTCTGACATCGTTCATCTCATACAAAATGTGATGAGGGAATACTGTTGACAATCCGGATATGGTTACAATTTTGCAACTAGCTCAAAACGAAACCCCAATTAAAGAATCTACTAGATTCTGAGGTCACCATGTTAACGACTCAGGTCTGTCCAAATACCAAGCCATATAAAAGTCGGCCGTATGTTTATGCATAACCAGTAAAACCATTATTACTAATATTAAAATAATATCTTTCTTATTAAAAAAAAACGTCACGGGAAACGTTTTACAATCAACTTTTGCAAAGTGACCTTCTCGCTTCCTGGGTCAACTTTTTTGTTTAGACCGATCTCTCATCACATTGTTTTTCCATTATCAAACACTAACTTGTAAGTTGTAGTGTATTATATTCGTTAAAATATACCATAATAAATATGTATACATAATTCTAGTGAAAGATATAACTAGGTCAAAGCACAATGCTATTAAGACTGTGGGTTCTACATCATAACACGTTTGAAATAAGCTTTTAAACTGTGAAATGTGAGCTATTTTGCAATTTATAATCCCGCATTCCATTCACTAAACGTATAGGCCTACTGCCAAATCGGCCTTTCCGTACAGCAGCATCACAAGTTCAAACGCTAAAAAATTTTCATTACAGCAGAAGTATGACATTATATGATAACAGAGAAGCACTAATTATACTCACCTATGATTCCTTTATGTTCAATATGTTACAGCTTATGCAGGATGGTCATCATTAGCGAAAATACTGACAACTATTTCTATACCATAAACACCGAGCGCTCAAACATGGCGTTGAAATGGACAAAAGCCATCTGTGCGCAGACTCAATAGGGCTTACTGCGGTATATCAAAGATTATCACCATGTCCCTTGTTGTACGTCTTGTAGTGATATCGGTTATATAATTTGAGACTAAATAATGCGTGTAGGAGAAATTCACATCTAACGTTTGTTCAGTAATTCAACTCGTTATTTTATGTTTATAAATTGTGATCTCATTCTAGTTTAGAACGACGGAGATAGGAAAAACTATTTGTAAAAATCAATTGACCTTGGGCAGTTTCGAAATTTTAAAATAGAATTCATCCTATTGTGTGTGAGAATAATAATGTCGGACTGTTGTAGTTTGTGTGGTTCGTTAGGGAAAAACCACGACATAACGTATTTCATGTTTTTTTTTTGTTTTTTTTTTATTGTGCTTGGTCTATCATTCAATTTACGAAGCCTGGGACAAATTTGAAAGATCATTTTAACAAGATATTCTTTAGGTTATATTAATAAATGTTTATCCGAATAATTTGTGGACGTCATGCACGCGCCGTTGAATCCGAGCAGGGTGAATTATTTAAATGAAGGCATCATGTTACATATATATTGACATGCCCATATAAGGAATAAGATCGTACTTAGCATAGGCGGCAAAGAGTGTCGTGACTCGTGAAGAAATTCCGCGGACGTTTTCAGTACAGTTATTATTGATGATACACTCAATAATTATTTTCAATGTTCCGTATTCTTAATTCAGTGTTGATTTCCTGTACACCGATCATAATCCTTTGATGAGCATGAATCTATAACAACGGGTCTTGACCAAAACATGTCATTTTGTTTCTCATAATGGATTTCAGATAGGCCTAATATGTTTTTTTTTTTATTATATTTGATTTACATACTTATATTTTATTGAGAACTAATCGAAACATTCATTCAATAGGTTTGATAATTTATTATTTCATCTCAATGATTTTGTTCTATTGATTTATAGGCCTATCTCAAGAATCGACATGGAATGCATGCAAATATAGACATATATATCTGTCGGCATATAGGCCTATAAATATACGGTAATAAAAACTTTAAGAGTACAATTTATTTCATCTAATATTTCGACTTTGTCCGAACGTCAAATGTTTTCTTCTTCTTCTTCTTCTTCTTCTTCTTCTTCTTCTTCTTCTTCTTCTTCTTCTTCTTCTTCTTCTTCTTCTTCTTCTTCTTCTTCTTCTTCTTCTTCTTCTTCTTCTTCTTCTTTATGGTTTAGATATAGCCCTATAAAATTTCTTAAGTTTTTAATTTGGCACAATTCCTAATGATTGCCTATACAATGCTATTATAAACAACACAAATTTAAATAAAAAACAACAATTGGTTATGAAAAACGATGGCTAAATGAGAACGAATTATAGACAGAAACAAATATGTTGGAGTCTTTTTATAAGTTTATTGTGGTTGTTGATATCGAGACGCTCTAACTATAAAAGAGTCAGCCAAGAAAGAATTGTAACATAGGCGCCTATCCCTACGCAAGATAAAGCTGGTAAAAATGGTGTAGTCCTATATTTTCAGTATAAACACGTACTAGGCCTATTAGAACACGGAGGCAAATATGGAAGCCAAAAAATGAACTTCAGTTACTCGCCTCATAGATAAGTTAATATTAATTTTTTTTTTTTCAAAATACCATTATGTACTGTACTGATTTATTACATATCATAAAAGTGTTTTAAGAAAAAAAATCCAACCTTGCATTGATTAACGTAATTGCAGTATTTGGAAATACGTCAAATAGAAATAAAAACATATTGCATAGACTTCAAAAAAGAACTGCAATAATTATTTTCAATAATTTTGACTATAGGCCTATTCATTATCGTGGTGAGGTGAAGACTTAATTAAACAATTGAATTGGCAGTTATTCCAGGACAGACGTGATTATGCCCTTATTTGGTCGACATGGATACTCTACTAGATCTTCAAATACTTTATATGTTGTCCCACCGACTACGAACTTCAACAAATTTAAACAGCTTTTAAATTCAATTATAAGAAATTACTTTTTACTTTGACTTGTAACTTAGATTAAATGGATATGATTTTAAATGTGTCACGCCTCTATAGTTTTTGGATGTCATTGATATTCGCTTTGGTCTTCATTCATTATTTTTTGTAGTTTTGTGATTTTTCAAATTGATTGGACAAAATTGCATTTTGTGTTAATTCCAAACTGATTTCGAATTAATTTTGAGGTACAGTATTAGTTTGTTAAATGTATTTAAGGGTTGTGTGATGTTTGTACTGTTGACTTTCATATTATATTCATTGTTATATTTTATGATAATTATTTTAAACAGGACCATTTTTAAAAACAGACTGCTACATCTTCTCTGTAATTGTATCCTGTAATAAAAGTTTTTTAGTTCCAAATTAATTACAATAGGCCTAACTGAAATTTGCAACATTCTGAATGTTCAGCTACGTCGGGCAGCTCAACGCGTTTTTTTGTTTTTTGTTTTTTTGTTTTTTTGTTTTTTGTTTTGTTTTTTTTTTTTGCGGGTAAAAAATATTATGTAATATTTGCATGGGCTTTAATAAGCCTTTCAATCTCGCCGGATCCATTCTATGGGTTCTGGGCCGGCAGTCAGTGACTTCTCTCTACTTACTCCCAAATTGGGATTATTGCCACATCCCCCTCAGAGACATCGCCGCTCCCCAGTCTGGGAAATTCTGGTGCCACTACTAAAGGTATATGCTCATTTGGATTTAGGGAAGATATCTGCTTTGTGTGCACCATTGGTCATGGTGATGTCGGAGACGCTAGTGCTGTTATTGGATTTAGTAGCAGTAAATTTGATACGGGATGGGCAGAATTAATATTTAATAGGATCGTGTCCAAATTATCTTCATCATGAGTCCAGATCAAGAATATAACGCAACGGAAATACACGTTGTTTCAGCTGAGGTACAGGAAGTTGACCTGAAGTGCCGCACCATTTGCTAAGAGAGGAAGTAATTTTGTGTGGCCTTGTGTAGGCCTACTTAAATTTGAAGATAGTGCCAATCGCCGAAACATAATTAATGTTGGTCATCAAAATTAGCATACATGTAATTGATTTAGTTTTCAGTAGTTATATTACAATGATTAAACTTTTAATGGATGGTAAAATTGGAATTTTGTTAATTTCGTCCTTGAATACAACTTCATATTAACTTTGTCTATATATTCTTAATATAGCAGGAATGTAAACATTGTACTGTATATTTATTAAAAACATATTTATGTTTCATTTCCCTATTTATGCATGTATGCTTACACTTCATTTAGAGTTAAAATTTAAAAATTAATTACATGATATTGCAATGTCGTTGTGCAGAGTTTTAACCAATTAAATCTTTGTGTCGTTTTTTTTTTTGTTTCACTTTCATTATCACGTGTCGGATTTTAGCCAGTAGGCCTATTTCATGTGGTAAACGCAATAAATAAGTACATCAAATAACCATGGACCTGTGCAATATATATTAATATTGGCAAAATACTGAAAAACAAAAGTGCTGTGGGAAACAATCATGGCTGGATCTAGGTAGAGATACAAATTTTATAATAAGCAACAGCTAAAAAGTAAACGTAAATAGAACCAGAGCTTTAGGACAATGTCTTTCCTCAGTGGCGAGTGAGTGAGGATAGAAAAAAAAACATGATTAGAAACAATAAGCTAGGTGATAAGTGAATAAATCGTCACTCACATCACGAACTAACACAATCAAAGTAGATTGTGTTAGTTCGTGAAATCACAGTAGCGCGTCAAAACGAGCGCGTATTGGTTGTCAAGCAATTTTGTATTCTTTACCACACAAAAAGTCCTTAACAACAACAGCGCGTATTTTGACGCGCTTTTTTGATTTCACGAACTAACACAATTGAATTTAATTGTGTTAGTTCGTGATGTGAGCGAGGAAACATTCAATTCAATTCAATTTATTATAAAATTCCACATATCGTGGCCCGGAGGCCAAATTACATGTAAAATTACAAGTAACAACATATAAAACAAATGGCAGAAATATAAAAAAGTCATAAAAAAAGACATATAAAAATGTAAAAACAAACAGGAAGAGGATGCAGGTCCAAATATCAATATAAATGTGATAGTTATTATTATTATTATTATCATTATTATTATTATTATTATTATTATTATTATTATTATTATTATTATTATTATTATTATTATTATTATTATTATTATCATCAATATCCAAGTCATGATGGGGTTCAAAGTCATCAAAAAACATCTTGAACAAA